CGGTACATACGTTATCATTTTTGTTCATCAAATATATTAAAATAATGAACAAACATACATTGAAACTACTCCTACATTGAGTAACGGATTCTTGGAATGAGCATCCCAGTCAACGCGGAATGCTCCACTTTTCCCGTGTCCTCTCTTGAATCGCTCCTTTCTGGATTTCGCTGTTCGCTGACGAGCTTTCGGGTCCGCCCACAGAGGACATAGGCTTATCCGCACAGATATGAGGCGAAAGGAGGTCGGAGTGCTCTCACAAGTACCCGCCCTGTTGGGGACGGTCAGGCCGATGGCATCGTCGCGGATGCCAACCCTAACAGGTTCATTCATTCAGCAGATCGGGATTTCAACAGTCCACATCTGGTTCTTGCGAGAGGCAAACGATGGGAGGTAGCCGGCGTCATTTGGAGCTACATACCAATAACAATATCCAATTGTGCCACATCGTCGGCACGTCGGGTGTTTGGTGGACTGGCTCCAGCATGCCACGCTGTGTACGCACAGAATCACGGAGATCACTGCTGCTGTTTTTTTCTTCTTTTTGATTGAAACCGATCTCCGTCCGGACCCGATATTATCGACGATGCACACTATAATAGACATTTAGGGGGACTTTCGGCGGAAAGTTCCCGCGGGACATTCCGCGGGAAGCGGAACGTCCCGCGGAAGGTCCGAAACGCCCCGCGGGACATTCCGCGGAATGTCCCGCGGGAGGCGGAAACTTTCCGCTTCGCGCGGAACCTTCCAAAACTTGCCGCGGAAGGTTCCGCGGGACCTTACGGACTTTCCACGGAAGCTTTCCGCTTCCCGTGGAATGTTTCGCGGAATGTTCCGGACTTTCTGCGGGAAGTGCGGAAACTTCCGCGGCACGTGGGCATAGTTTCCTGTTCGGGAACCGAATCGACCAGGTGAGTGTGATGATGAAAAATAGCCCCCCCAGCAGGTAATCGAACATGTATGCGACCGCCGACCCCTCGATCGCACCTGCCTGACGGAATGCTGATGGGGCCCGCCGCCATGAGGACCAAGGATATCACTATGCATGAACCTTGATTTAGCCCATACTTATAGGTGAGACAGCAGTCGAGTCAACAACCCAACTACAACGCCATGCGTCTCCAGAGCGTCACTGACCTTTTTTCCACATTGGATAGACGAATCATCAACAACAGCCTCGGGCCTAGACACCTCATACAAATCCGCCCGGGGTTTCCATGCCATCGTCTACACATCATGTGCGTCAATTCAATGTTGTCGTCTTTTTGCGGAACACCAAACGTGTCGTTGTCCCCCCCTTTCTTGGTGCCCTGGTTTACGCCGAGCGAGTGATTTTCATGGATCCTACGTGTGTTTTCGGGCGAGATCAGGGACGGACGTTAACCGATTTCTTCGCGTACCTGTCGGTATTTTATGGTGTATGGTTCGCAACGATGGGGCGCTCACAATTTGACCTGTCTGCAGCGCTCTTCATTCGTAAGGATTCATCGGAATGAGTAACGTAGCCGGATTTGCTCGTAATCGCGATAATAATCGGGTCATTTTAGTGCTTGTCCCGTGTGGTCCGGAGTTCAGGTCGGAATGAGTTTAACCTTTGTCCTAACTTTTCTCGGTGCTCTGATGTTCTACGCCGAGGGATTTTCATGGACCCTACGTGTGTTTTCGGGCGAGATCAGGGACGTTAACAAATATTGACTTCGCGTACCTCTTGGTATTTTATGGTGTATGTTTTTGTTCGCGACGATGGGACGCTAACAACTTGACCTGCCTGCAGCGTTCGTCATTCATAAAGATTAATCGGAATGAGAAATGTCAACGGATTTGATCGAAATCGCGATCATCATCCGGTCATTTGTGTGCTTGTCCAGTGTGGTCCGAAGTTTAGGTCCGTGTAGCTTCAGCCATTGTCCTACACTTTCCTAGTGCTCTGTTTGGCGTTGGGTGCTTTTCATGGATCCTACGTGTAATATCGTTGGGTTGGCAGAGACGATAAAGATTTGTTCTTCTCGTGCTTGTTGCTTTTTTATTGTGTATGGTTTCGTTCGCGACGATGGGACGCTCACAATTTGACCTGCCTGCAGCGTTCGTCGTTGATGGCAACCATTCATCGAAATGAGTACTGTAACCGGGTTTGCTCGTGATCGCGATCATCATCCGGTCATTTTGTTGCTTGTCCTGTACGGCCCGGAGTTAAGGTCCGAGTAGCTTTGACCACCGTCCTCCCCTTCTTGGTGCTCTTTTGTACGTTGGCTGTCTTTCGTGGAATATATGCATGAATTCGGTGGGCCGGCAGGCATGTTCAAAGATATTTTCTTCGCGTAACTCTTGGACTTTCACAGTGTATGTCTTTGTTCGCGACGATGCGACGCTCACAAATGGACCCTCCTGCTGCGTGATCGTTGGTAACCATTCATCATCGGAATGAGCAACGTCACCGGGTTTGCTCATGATCGCGATCATCATCCGGTCAATTTTTTACTTGTCATTGTCGCGTATGGCCCGGAGTTCAGGTCCGAATGAGTTTATCCACTGTCCTACCCTTTCCCGGTGCTCTGGTCTACGCCATGTGATTTTCATGGATCCTACGTTTGTTCTCGGTGGGCTGGCACAGACGTTACAGACAAGTGGTTTCTTCGTGTACCTGTAGGTTTTTGTTGTGTACTTGCTCCCGAGGATGGGACGCTCACAAACTGACCTTGCCTGCCTATTGTCGAGAATGGGTTACCATGGTACCAGAATAGCAGCCGTTCGTCGCGGTGGTTCTCGGTACGCTACCCGTGGTTCGAATGTGCTGCGTCTAAGGTGTGCGTTTGGAGCAAAACACTCACAATGATTGCGGTTCGTGGGCGTCCGAGTGACTGGACAATATCGCCTTTCCCCCTTTCTGTTATGACAAAATTGAGCGCGGTTTTGACAGATCTGGTGTGCTTATTCGAGGTGCGTGTGGTCGAGTGTAAGGAAGGTTTCATGGCGCGCATGTTGTCGGTCACTTCCTTCTCTGCGTTTTCGCTTTGCGCCTGCCGGACGCTACTGGCGCACGTACCTGCAGGTCGACGAGTATGGGTTTGGGTAGCGGTTGAATCGCAGTCCGTTGCCTGGTTCATTTCGACTTGTCGATCCGTCCTTGGGAGTGTGCCTCGTGGATGGTTTCCCAATCTCGTGGAAGAACAGTTAATCTTCTCTATTCATGCATGTCCGAGTAGACTACTCGATCGGGACGGCCAAGAAAGTGATGCACGCAAATAATAAATGTGTGTGGTATGGTTATGATATTGGCACATGATCGTTGAGATCAGCATCGACGACGATACCCGTGCGATCAATACTAGCTCAAAATGAAACTGGGATTCCTTGAGGTGGCGGAAAGGAGGCAAAGCTGGGTGTCATGTATTGGATACAGTATAGCACAGTACTGTATACTAGTAGCAGGTATGACTTGGTTGAAGGAAAAAAGAAGTGCACACAATAACCCTATAGCACAGATTCAGATATATATAGCGGTGCGAAATAGCAACGCAATGTATACAATGGGCGCACAACAAGGGAGCAACACAACAGGGACTAGTATGGAGAAGTGAGATGAATGGAGTAAGCTTGACAAGACGAAATCTTTATGCTGGGCACGGTACAGACCGGGCCCGGAGATAGGAAACGTTAAAATCGGGCCGAGCCTCAATTTCTTATTTCGGGCAGAAGGACAAGCCGAAGTCGGCCCAATTTCTTAAAACGGAGCCCAATTTCTCCACCTGCTCCGGGTATAGCATTCCACAAGGCCGAATGGCCCAGACGCGTCAAAGTGTGATTCTATTCGAATTATCGACCAGGAATACATCGGTGGGAATATTTTGGAGTATGCCAACGGGAACAAACAGCGTTGGCGCTGATGGAAATGATGGTGATGGGTGGCCTTGTTTATCGCTTGGTAGGCTATGTCGCATGTACGCCTAGAGCAAGCCAGGCGCACGCCCCGTCTACTCATTCCCCTGCTCCTCGGTGCCATCCGGCCCTTTTCGGAGGTGTGGCATGCCTCGTTGCCTAGTTCTTTCTCCCCTTATTCCACTGTTACCTGTGTCTTGGATGTTGGCCTCCACTCAACATCTCCCGTGTCGCGGGAGGGGGAGAGAGAGAGAGCGCGAGATCGAGAGAGATAGAGAGAGAGAAGGGGGAGCGAACAACTCCGTGCGGGAGCACACATCCTACCGCGCAAGAGCCGACACAGTAGGCGATTCAGCCTGTTTCTGCGCTGGGTCTTGGAAACTCCCCACTCTCCACCTCTTTGGACGCGCTGCACGTGTTCGACTCAAACTCCGTGGACAAACTCAATAGCAGCATACAATCACGTCGGTTTTTCGATATCATCCACAGCCAAACAACATGCAGGACCTTGCCTACCAAGGGATAGTCCACAGCTGCACCTACGGCTTGCGGTGTAATGCAAGGGAGTTCCATCGCAAATCATGGGTTGTCAAAGAGTGAATTGGGGTTCCAAAAAATTCGACGGAATAGTGAAACGTTCCATTGAATTCGGTGGGTGTGGAATTTCGTTGAAACCTTCAGTGTTGCCACGGAAGTGACTGTTGAATTTTCTCCGTCGGGCTCGTATACTGTGGCATGCACGGCGTAGTGTGGTTCCGTGGAAATCCAACCGTTGCACGTAACTTGGGGCTGATGCGGTACATTCAGTGCTAGCCGTTTTGCTTTGGTGTCAACGTGAAGGTTGAAACTCTGGGGCTCAGCAACACGGAATAGAGCCGAGGCGGCTGTAATCCACGTCGTGGAACACAAACCCACGCATATTTCACGAATGCTTCTGCTCTGAATGCACCCCACGGCGTCGATACTCCCGGAACTCGCACGAGGAGAGTCTGACATCGTTCTGGCGTGCTCAGAACAGATTGAGGATCGGATGTGTGTGCCGACGTTCCCCGACACCTAAAGAGATTTAATCTCCAAGGTTGGAGGGGCATTTCGTTGCCATTACATTTACCTGCCTAGCAGAGATTTGTTACTCGCTGATTGAAGCACGCACATAAATCACGTCACCCAAAAAAAAAGAGACAAAACGGCATCTTATGCAACAGAAGGACAAGATATTGCTCACGCCCCCCCCCCTGTTCCACTCCTTCTTGGTCAGACAGCACCAGCAAAGTTACTTCCCTTATACACCCAACACCCGCAAATTGTACAGTCAACGAGGGGACCAACGGTGGATTGCACTCAAACATAACTACCGAGGACTAAGGGGGGAACTGGAGAGAAGCAGGTGCTGATGATACTCGAACACTGTCGACAAAATGAAAAAACGAGGCAACCAAACAGAACTATCACTCTTGCCTCCGTGGACACCTAGGGTACAATAAATTCACTCCTTGTTCCAAGTATTTCACTCCTTGGTCAAGTGATTCACTCCTTGGTCAAGTAATTCATTCCTTCGTCGAACTCAACTCCAGCCATTGCGACCGACTGCTGCTCGGTGATTGATACCACTCTTCAGCAAGAACAACATACTCTACCTCGCTCGAGCTTGTGTGCCTCCAGTGCAGGACACCCGGTCCTGTCGTGCGCTACGTAGATTTTCGTGTGTCCGTCACCGTACGCAAAAAAACTAGGCTGCGGGCGGAAAACATCACTCTGCCGAGAGACCAGAAACGCCTGCGTGAGCAAAAAAAAAAAACATCTAGATTAGATACCTACAACCGTTGCCATCACCGCGGGGCGTTGCGTCTTTCGTCAAGACCACGACGCGAGGCTAGTCTTCCCGCAAGACATAGACGGCAGCCGAAAAAAAAAGAAAAGTCGCGGGCTAACAGGTTACGAAGCGTAAGAACCAACCACACAGCAGCAGCAGCATCATCAGCAGTAGCAGCGCCATTCCGTCGCCCACAATTTGCCCAAAATATCTGTCGAGACATACGGATACAGAGACAGCAACTACACACGACAAGGCGACCGATCAAGCAGGGAAGAAGGGCTGCACCGGGGTCTCGAGGACAGGGATATGTAGAAGAAAGACAGAAAATAGAAGAAAATGAGGCAAAAATTCACACCAAGAAAAGGAGTGCCGCAACCGCGATTTCAAAACTAGTCTGCTCCCTACTGATCGTATCTACCATGGACGAAACTCTCGAGATGGACACGCGGAACACGTACTACAACACCACAACACATCGCTATTCTACGCAGATGGTCCAAACTGGCACGAAGGCAGCAAGACAATTCAACATGAAACCGGTGACGCCCTTCACATGCCCCCAGACAAGGGGGAGAAGAGCAAACACACGGACACAGCAGCACAGCAGGTTGCAAACACACGCAGCAGCAGCTATAAGGCGAGCACCAAAATGCCGCCATCGTCAACAAACGCAGTCGGTAAGGCTTGAAAAGGCCGGGTTGGGCATTTTTTTCTAGTCCCAACACTGCCTTCTACACAGAAACAGAAACCGCTCCTTACTCAAGACACAACTACAATAACAGCATGACCGGCGATATTCGATACAGCAGCAGCGGGATTAAACTCGTCACACAACAGAAGTGCCACGGACATGCTTTCTGCACAAGATCCAGCATCTCTGCTGCGCAGCACTACTGCGCAACGACCGCAGCAAACAGTCAAAAGTCGACGTCCATTTCACGACGGCGCGGCCGAACCACGAACGAAAACATACACACCATATGGTATGGTAACGCGTGTGACAAAATATGGTGAGTTTCCTCGCCCCCCCTCCCCAACCCAATAAACAAACGATCACAACACCCACCCTCGCCCTCCCGGAACCAACAAAAATAGAAGTACGCTCAACGCTCTACAGCACCACAGCTTTCGCCCGTAGCACACAAAGTACAACGCAAGTACATCGGGTGATCGAGAAAACGCCCCCCGTCCCCTAGCCCTACCCTGCCTACCCCAGAAATGCCTACAGCGACCCCACCCCTTTTCTACCACCGCGTGAACCCTCGCCACAGGCGACACCCACGTTGTCGTAAAAAAAAAAAAAACACTCCCTTCAGAAACTTAAGCGTGTACCATCATTCGCACCGGCAGCGCGGGGTACAAATATGTCATCGGGGCGGGGACTGACAGACGAATTGAATATCCCGTTCCTCTGTGTCAGCTAAAAGTCGAACTCGAACAGCTCCGGGTGCTCCTCCCTGCGACACTCCCGCTGAAAAAAAAAATGCGGTAGAGATGACACGGACGCCAGGTGGGCAAAAGACGCCGCGGCGGGGAGAGGGCGGAAAGGGTGTTGTTACCGCCGCGCGAGAACGGAATGACGCAGTAGAGGATGCGGATCAGCTGTTCTGCAGTTGAAACCACGAACATCATCGCCATGGTCAATACGCGTATCGCCAGCGGCTAGGACAGCTAAAACCCCAAAGAACAGACAGCAGACGATGCAAGCAAGCATCATCCGGACACGAGGCGGGGAAAGGCCCGCTCTCTTCGACGTCCTGCAGCAGTCGTCCGCACCTGCGTGATCCACGGGTGTGCCAGGATAGCCTTGGCCGTATACCGCTTCTCCCGGTCCTTGTTGAGCATGCCCAACACGAGGTCTTTCCCTGGCGCAAGCGGACGGAAACGGAGCGTTCGTTTGACAGCAAAGGGCGGGGAAACGGATGCACAGTGAAGACGTTCGGCGGGATAATCGGTTGTTGCTGTCACCGAGATAAAACAGGAATTCGCGCCCCGGAAATCACGGACAAAATAAACCCTAAACCACAAGAAAGCGTGCGTGGGACGCCGCATGGACCGGGAGGCCCACGTGGGTTCGAAGGAAGACGGCATGTTTTAAGGGCTCAAACCTCACAGGACAAACACACCGCCAGCGCCGGTGGCTGCACGAACGCGGATACGGCGACGACAGCCAACAGTCAATCAGGCAAGCAATCATCACGCAAAGCCGACCACCCACACCACCAAAATCCCCGACAAAAGCGGCCACAAGAATCACACATCGGCAGGCACAGCCGACACTCACAACAACGAACACAAAAAACACCAACACTAAATCACACACATCGGCAGACAACGCCTACCCACACCACACAACGACTAGGACACGACAACACACCCCAAACACGGTGCAGCAACCACGGCGACCTTAAACCTTTAGTAACCCACCATCCTCGGAGAAGTTGGCCCATACGGGGTCGTTCTGCCATGCGATCGCACCGTGGATCGTGTTCTCGATGATCTCCTAGATGACCATCGAAGCGGCAGGCAGACAGGCAGATAGTGGAGGGCAGCGAGTGAGGGAACAAGTTCGACTGCCGGGGATGACACCGAAAACAGAACCTAAGTCTGTCTTTTGTCGAAAGCCTCTCGCCCACAAAACACCAGAGGAAACTGTCGCTAGCGAGTATCGCATCCGCACCAGCAGGTACATCTTCATTTGCATTGCAGACCAACAACATGAAACCGTCGACCATGTTATTGGCGTGCGGAATGACAAAACAACCGCTGCTGTGGATGTGTGTTGCGAAGAACCGAAGCATCGCCCCAGCTCGGAAAGCAGCAGCCAAGGTCGAAACCACTGTTGTGCCCGGCAGTGGGGGGAATGAACCGCGTTGATTTGAGTTGAAAAATCTGTCTCTGGTGTACAGTACACCGGCCGAGCAATAACGGTGCCAAGCAACCGCGGTGGAATGCACACGAGAAGTCGTTAAGAACACAGGACCAAAAACACCTCTCAAAATTCACACAAACAAGCGACTTGCTCGTACGAAAATCAAGTGCTGTTCAAAATGTAAAACACGGCATCCAACTTGTTGCAACTGCAGCCGCAACATCAATAACAGCGGAATTAAAAAGCAAAGAGAGAATACTCCACGTGAAGCACGGACTATTTGCAGCCGCACCCGCAACATCAACAACAGCAGCATCAAAACAACGAAAAAACGTCCGCAGCCTCAACAAAAAAATCACAATCCGCAACAACAACACCAAAAGCAGCATCAAAACAAAAACAAAATCACAATCCGCAACAACACCAAAACCAGAATCACAACAAAAACAAAATCACAATCCGCAACAACACCCGCAAAAGCAGCATCAAAACAAAAACAAAATCACAATCCGCAACAACAACACCAAAAGCAGCATCAAAACAACATGACAAGCTTTACCTCTCGGGTCTCCCCGTCGAAAGGCAGGCGGCCCCTGAGCAGGAGGTACATGATGGTCCCCACGGACCAGATGTCGGCCTCCTTCCCATAGCCGTTGAGGGTCAGCACCTCCGGCGCCACGTAGGTGAGGGTGCCGCAAGGCATCTTCATTATCTCGTCGGGCATCACCATCTGTAGAGAGGGAAGGAGAAACACAGAAAGGACAACGGAACATAAATAAAGAAAAAAAAGAAAGAAATACAAAATAATTCGAGGTGTATGTGCCACGAAATAAAACACACACACACACACACACACACAGAAGATCAGTTCGGCAGTGTGGGGTAGGAAAAACAAAACGGGACCCGGAATCATCCCAGATGCGTTGACGAATTATTCGGAAACCGCAAGAAGCTAGCCCTCGATGAAGAGTCGCGGGCAGAAAGATCTGTTGTCCGACACGCGATTGCCAGAGAGTGCGCGAAGGCACAGAAGACGTGATGAAGGGGCCGAAACGGCATAGCAACCCAATGCACTTTCAACGGCCGAAATCGTCGCGTCAGTTCCTTGCGCAAACGTCCAGCTTAGCCAGCTGCCTCGGCTCGCTGAAACCCTTTTTCTCCATCTACATGAGTAGCGCAGCTGCAGCAGCGCAAATATGCGTAGCATTCACATACCTTGCTGAGGCCGAAGTCGGCGATCTTGATGTCCTCGATGCGGTCGCCGCAAAGAATGTTCTCCGGCTTGAGGTCGCGGTGCACGATGCCCATCTCGTGCAGGTAAGCGACGCTCTCCACCAGGGGGTACATCACCGTGAACGCCTGGCGACCGATCGGGCCACGAGGGGGACCATAGGAGGCGAGATTGTGGTACAGTGGCGGCTACGGTTGAAGAGAGGGTTTGGACAAGCCAAGTATTCCACCCTGACATCCGGTTTTCTCCCAACAGTACTGTCAAAAAATGCGTGTGTGTCTCATGGTCGCGACAATGCAGTTTGACTCTGTTAAATCGGTTTTTTCACTTGAATAGCCTCTCTTAAACCGTAGCGGCCACTGCAAGTGTGATGTGCCTTATATCGACCGACCAACCCCTCAGGGACACCAGAACAGTGGCGTGTGTGTGTGCATGTTTCATGGACCCAAGACCTGGGATATGAGAGGAGTGAAACTTGTGTGTCAAAGTGTTTTGAATAACTTGTCGGCCGCTGGCAAAAGAGAAGACCCCGGCCACTAGGGAAACCAGGTTTGTGAAGTAAGTGTGTGGAGTCTTCGAGCGACCCGACCAGCCCCCAGGGACATCCAAGGAGTGAAATGTGTGATTGTGTGATGCGTCATTTATCGACCGACCACCCGCCGAGGGCATCAGTGGAGTGAAATGTGGGATAAGGAGTGAATTGTGTGGTGCGTGTGTGATATGCTTACATATCTACATATCTACTGCCAATAGATCGTCGCATGCCGGGGACACGAGAGGAATGAAAAACAATGCCGGAAAGAACGGTTAGTGAATGAGCGCGATACGTGATACTTCACCAACGTCGCGTAGTGATGAACAACTGTGCGTCCGTGTGTCTTCACAATTTCAGAACGAGCGGTGAGGGAACGTGCGCGCGTGTGTGTTCGCTTTAAAAAAATGTCGAAACGAGCTGTGAGTGAATGTGCGCGTGCTTGTCTTCACTATATCCGCTTCTCTTCACAATATCAGAACGAGAAAAAAAAAACCAACATGTGTCTGTGTGCGTGCGTGAGACTATGAACTGCCAGCGCCCACAGGCTGACCAAATACGGCCAAAAACGGCGCGCGGGTTGTATATGTATCGTCTCATGTATCCTGGGCGTCAGTCCACACCCTTCAGTATATTTTCTGTGGGCATCAGCCAGAGTCACACAGGGGTGGGTAGGAAAAAAAAGAAACATCTACTTCGTACATGTTATACAACACGCTGTAGTTTCCAATAATTGCCGCCATTTCTTTGATTGTCAAGCCTCATCCTGGGGGCAACCGCGGGACGAACGTCCTGTGGTGGTTTGAGTTCATGCCTGCCAATAAATAGTAGGCTTTTCGTGTGGGTCCGCTGCGATGTCCTCCGAGTGAAAAACGTGTTTCTTTGTCTTGCTCACCTCGTCTTCCGTAAACCTTGGACGGCCCACGATGCGGTCGAACAACTCGCCACCGGAGTGCAGCTGCATGACGATGAAGATGTCCTGACACAGCAACAGCACGACAAGACAACAACAAGACGAGAAACGAAACCAATTCACAAGTGCTCGAAATCACGGCCCATCCTCGCCGCACAGCAGCAGTGCGCCTTGTCGAGGCCGGCATGTGTCCCGAGATTTTGCCGGCACTATTCCCGACAACGGAATTATTTCAGTGTACAGAACGACTTGGTACACCAGTGTGTGACAGCCGAAAACACCGGCCCTATACCGGACACCGGTAACATTTCAGTTTCAGAACGAATTGGCAGATAAGTGCAAACACCGGCACAATACGGGGCATCCGGTCACTATTCGACCGGCACCCAGCAGGGCCCACTACTGTAGCGGTAAATAACCCAATATGCTGTTCCCAGGTTACAATAAACCAAAGAAGAGACAACCTAGAGGGGAGACCGAGTCAAAACGGTTCAGATACGTCGAGCTTCGGGGAGAGCTGTTCTTGCTGGAATATCCGCCTAGAAACCACGGGTAATCCAAATACGTGAACCATAAACCCATATGCATAGAACGGCAGACGAAAACATCACAAGAAAACAGGGTGCCAAAAATGTACCCTGACAAGATGGAATTGTGGGAGTTGGGACGCTGTCTTGCACATCGTCTCGTCATGACCTCCCCCCCCAAAAAAAACGTGACCAACCCCCCCAAAAAACCCGTGCGGGGGGGGAATGGGGATACAACAATGAGGCCTCCAAAATCACCATGAACCTATCCTCCGGCAACCCTCTCCCAACCCTCCACCAGCTTGCCACGACCCGCCTGACCCAAGGCGTGTCGGATCGACGGACCGACCTTCTTGCTCTCGTAGACGGCCTCCATGCGGATGATGTTGGGGTGGTTGACGAGCCTCATGATGGCGATCTCCGCCCGCAGTAGGTCCTTCTCGTCCTGCTTCATGTCCTCCTTCATGATTATCTTCACGGCGTTGCGATCCAGCGTGTGCTTGTTGACGCACCTGCTCTCGCATGTTCGTTCGTTCGTTCGTCCGCACGGTGAAGTCGCAGCCAAGAATAAGGAAAGAGGGGAGTTTCACACGTGAGGGAGTCGATCAGCGTGGAGACGGATATTCCGTACCCTGAGGAAGTCCATCAGGGTGTTGTGTGACAGTGATTGGGGTGGTTGTACTGCTCATCGAAAACCGCAACCTCCACCTTTCGTCCGTGGGATCTACCTTCCGACGTGCAACATCCCAAACGCGTTCCCACTATCCAAATGAACATCTGAAACACACTCCCTCAAGCCTAGCGCAGGCTAGACTCGACTTCATGTGTGTGGCAAGGCGGTTTCACTGTCTTGCGGCAGGACGATTCCTGCATGGGCATACGGCTGAACGTTCTCCTCCCGGGCTAGAGTCAGCACTCGCATTAAATAATCCCTCGTTGTACAAGAGGATAGGGTTCATAACTCCTATGGTTAGGCTACAAATAGTCACCATAAGGTTCTCTTAGTGTAGGGGGCGTTAACCGGACCCTCCAATGGTGCTCACGTTCTTATGTCTTGACAAAACGGTGAGCATCAACTTCTTAAAACTGCAACGTTCTTCTAGCAGACGTTAACTTTACAACAACAACAACAACAACAACAACAACAACAACAACAACAACGGCAACGCTTACATGCACACGCGGCTGAACCTCCCCTTGCCAAGCTCTTCCCCGATCTCGAAGTCATCCTGGCCGGCGATAGAGCGCACCGACAAGACAAGGCACACACATCAAGAGATGGCGTCGTTTGATTGGTCAGCCAGCTGGCGCGGTCGACACTCCTTCAAGAAACGCGAGCTGCAACCAATACAGGAGAGGGCGTACACAGACTCTGGAACGGCGGCGGAGGAAAAACACCAACGCCGAAGTACAACAAGACCACAATCCCGAAAACATCGAGTCTACAGTAAGCACATGACAGCTGCTGTCATGGGCAGGCACAGGAACCAAGAGGTCATAGTAGTGCAAGTTTGTGGCCCTAAACCCAACCCGTCAGCAAACATGCATGCCGGCGGCTGCCACAGCTTTTGGTTACTACTCGTCATCATTACTCGTCATCATCATCGTCATCATCATCATCATCATCATCATCATCATTATCATCATCATCATCACTATCATCATTATCATCACTATCATCATCATCATAATCATTATCATTATCATCATCATCATCATCATCATCATCATCATCATCATCATCATCATCATCATCATCATTATCATCATCATCATCACTATCATCATCATCACTATCATCATCATCACCATCATCACTATCATCATCATCATAATCATCACCATCATCATCATCATGCTCACCATCGTGATCATCATGGTGAATATCATCATCATGACCGTCATCGTCGCTATTGCATCATCACTAACATCCATCCATCTTAATGAACATGATGATCG